AAAAAAATCCGACCCGCCGACTGGAATTTCGGAAAACCATGTTATGCAAAACGAAAAATTAACTTTGTGTGGCCTAATACAGATTATCCTAACTTATTTTTTTATAATTGAATATCGATGGTTTAATAAATAGGGTGGTTCAACCCTATTTCTAATTTCGAATTAAATTAATGATGCAATTATTTTAAACAGTGATTCGTAAACTTTATTTATTTTGATTTGTAAGCTTATTTTATATAGTAATAATTAATACTTTTTACAGTCGTAAATTTTCTTTCGAACTTTATATTTTTCATATAAATATTTTAAAATTAAAGAATAAAATAATAATATTTTAGAAGTACTAATAAGGGAGGTCGTCTAAAGCAGTTAGTATTTAAATTGATTACTAAGAAATTTATAAATTAAAAATTACGTAAATTACTGCCTGGCTTTAGACGATCCTAATAAGGTTACTCATTTCATCTCCGAATAACCTATTTCATTTTCTGATTTCAAAATTTCAAACAGAAATAGACTTTTTAAATTCTCACTTATTTTCGAAATAAGTTAATTTTGAGTTACCCTAATAAATGATTCTCTGCCACTATCTAATTTTTTAAATGCTGCTAGATACATATGACTAATCAAGTACATTAATTTTATAAATTTGTATAACGTAAATGAACCTTCTTCTGGATTAATAAGATCAAAAAAAAAAGATTTTTGCATACATCATATGATGTGCTTCTCCTGGAATTAATGAGAAAAAAAAAAAGAAAACCAATAAAAGGTTTCTCTTACATCATAAGTTGTAATTCCAGTACTACGATGTTAAACTTTATTTATTGGTACTGGTGTAGTGTTTACAATTCAATACCCGATCAAAGGCATATATGCATATAAAAAAATATTATTGATTACAACGTGCTACATTTTGTTTTATTTATTTGATCGAATTATTTTTTGTAAGAATGAATTATTCTAAATAATATTATTTACAGATTCACGTACGACGAAAATTCAATATTTGTTTTACTTTAGCAAATTTTGGCACTTACAGCCGACATTAACAATGACTAATCAGATGATCAAGAGGTATGGGACATACAAGTTACATAATACACAAATTATCCAAAACAGTTATTGTTCGTTAAAACCAATCAATTAATATAAATAAGTGACATGATGATATATTTTAGTTAATATTTTTTCTTAGTTCTACACACTAGTCCAGACAAAAAAAAGGAGATATAATGAGGGATATTTTTTTATTGTGTTCAGCTGTCAAAATTTAATAGGTAACATAACTCTGTAGATTTTGAGCATGTGATCATATTTACTAACAATAACTTAGGCTAGACACGTTTCTCTTTCATCATTAATCATATTTGGAAGTTAATTTTATAGCGGTTGGTTCGATAAGTTTAATTGGTTCCTTCATGGAAACAAACTCTTAGTTCTCTTTGGAAATGTACGAAATTTTCTTATATAAATTCCTACAATCTGTCTTTTCTTTTTTAAATCAAAGTATTATTTACTATATATATATATATATATTCGCACACATATATCGTATTAAAGAAAAAAAAAAGTCAAAATCAAACCAAAAAAAAATGGTACAAAATAACATCCCAACGCTCGCCCATAGAATCATAGCAATCGCGAGACTCCATTGCCCTACATTTCGAAGTACGGAAGAATTAGCAAGAAATTACAATGGCAATAATAACATCTCACATTTTGGTGCTTTACTTCTTATTATAGTACCAACATGTAATTCGATAAATATTTATAGACACAACATAATCCGAAAGGTTGCTAAATATATTTGGAGAAATTTTAGCCCTTATCAAAAAGGTTTCTTCACTAATCTTGCTAATAGAATTAATAGATACCTAACCAGGCAGCGTGGTGGTCAAACTACTGATTATTCAAAACAAGAAGCTGTTAATGATTTTTTTTATGGTTATGATTTTCATTAGCAATAACTAAATTTAAGTTGGTCAACTGATTTTAACGTTTAACAATCCTTAATCTGTAAATATGGTTATAAATTGTTGAACACTTTAAAATAAGATTATTTAAGAAATCACCAGAGATATACTGTATGTGCTTGGTAATTATTGTTGGATTTTATAGAATTTTATTTTAATAATTTTACTTAAAATTAGACTTTAGGTTAGAATAGGATTTAAATTGAAGGTTATTTTAAAAATTTTACTTAAAATTAGACTTTTACTTAATACTTCAATACTAATTACCAAAACCATTTTTGAGAAATGGCATACCTGGCGAACTTTTCACCTCTGGTGAGCATTAAAATCGTCCTTGAAGTATACTTATATATTGTATATTTATAGAACTAATTAAAGGTTTCTAAATGATTGTATGATTTTTAAGCTTTTTCACATGCTTTATAGGATTGAGCGCTTTATCCGTTATGTAATAAGTTTCTTAATAAAAAAAAAAAAGAAAAAAATTTTGCGTAAAAATAAATTTTTGAGGAATTTGTTTTATAATATAAATTATTATTCAAATATACTTAAACTGTATAATTGCAATTAAATTTCGACTATCACGTCAGCCTCTTTAGGAGGGAAGGAGAAATTAAAACTAACAAATAAAATAGACAATCAATATATATTGGAGAAATAAATTCTACTATAATAAATTAGAGATTTTAAACAATCTGTTTGAGTTAATTGCTTTCGTGTGCAAAGAATATGTGCCAATTATTGACGATATTACATGTAGTTGGTTAGAACTACCTGATATGTTTTAGAGGGATAATGATATTTACCGTACCGATGTTTTAACTATTGCTACAGTATCACTATGAATGGCCTGATTATATAAAGTTAGCATACGTCACACTAACATAAGTAACCTTAGAGTAGTGTCATGTGCGAACTTCGGCGTTCTTATACGTACGTACGTATATGCATAACATCACATATATGAATATATATATTATGTAATTGTTAATATGAAATTATATAAGCGTAAAGTCACTTAACAATTTATGTTTCCTTTTGTGTAGTGATTCGTAGAATGTATAAAATACTTTATTATGCAAAGTCATATAAGTTCATGTAATTTCTTACTTAGCAGTTAGTAATTTTATAAAAAAACTTGTTCATAATGACTGTATTGATTTGGTATGAAAGCAATACTGTATTAATTAATGATTTTTTTAAAGAATTTTTTATTAGTTAGTACAAAATTAAGGTTACTACGTTTTTATTCAAAAATTAATAGTCGATTGTTAGTTTAAGGTTTTGCGTATTTAAGTATTATTATAATGAGTTAATTTCGGTTTATTTTTGTTAATACGGGGTCTAATGTTTACTTATTTAGGAATTACCCAAATGTAGTATTGAATACTTTATTTATATATCGTTATGATTGTTTACATTAACGTTAAGGAAATTATGTACAAATTTGATAAAGGATTTACTCTTCCCTCTGACGAAAGCTATTTCTTTTTATACTTTCCCATTTTGTATGTCACAACAATACTCTTAATAAAGAAAATAAAGTAATGCGACAGACGAAATTATTTAGATAAGATTCGTTAATAATTTCACGTCAACTTAATGTGTTTCAATAGAATTTCCCATTTCTCTTACTTTTAGATAATATTCAATTGCCTAAGTTCATTCATATTGGCTCCAATCCAATATTAAACGTTTCTCAATAAGCTCTACCACTGCTGTTTTGTGTTCATTCTTTCGACATCAGTCCCAGTTTGAAAATTATCTTGATCAGTTCTATTTACCAATTCATGCTTATCTTTACCAACTTCAATTCCTTTCACGTAACAACTTCCGACCATATTCATTCCAATCGCAAGATCTTTATTAGTGAATTTTTGATAATCAACTAGTTTCATATGTTTGTTTTTTCTATACCATTACTTCTATACCAACATCAAAGATCGTTAATTTCCTAGGCATTTCCCATATTAACTGTTAAAGATTTTGGTAATCAGAGAAAGCTCACCTTCATTCATTTAATGACAATTCTATTTTCATAACGATATATAACCTATATATTCTATTAACTTTGATGATCGACAAACACTTCGCGTTCTTCTTTTTCATCACCAGCTCCATTTTGATAACAAACTGCAGTGTTGATACATTCTGCTATTATAAATTATCTCTACGAGCCTTAGGGGAGGGCCAGAAAACACGTGTTTTTTATTTTGACAAAACTACCCCCCTCCCCCCTAGGTTTCTTATCTTTTCTATTTTTCTATACGTGTTTTTTGAAAAGACCCCCTCCCCCCAAAAGAAAACACGTATTTTCTGGCCCTCCCATTAGACAGCATCTTAATGCACTATTCTCATCCTTTTTGGCTCCAGTTCCATCTTGATACCATGTTCAGGGCTGTATTTTACGAATAGCTTCTTCTAATATAGTTTCTTCACTAACACTGGTCTCAGCATTTTAAAGCTTCAAACACATCAATACAATGTTTTTACGACAATCTCTACTAATACTCTTATCAGCTGAAGTCCAAGCTTATCATCACCGTAAGTCTTTTAGATTATGCCCGAAATTCTACATTTCCTGCTTGTTGATCAAGCCTATGAAGTGACAGACCTATTGAGCAAATTTGTGTTTGAATAAGATTATTTATCAGTATTTGAGGTAAAGATGCCGGTTTGAAAATAAGATTATTTATCAGTATTTGAGGTAAAGATGCCGTTTTGAAAATAAGATTATTTATCAGTATTTGAGGTAAAGATGCCGTTTTGAAAATAGCTTCTGCTTACCACTTCATCCCTTTTGACTCTAGATATGTCCGGGATATATATTTCTTCGCTTTTCAGGTTTACTTCCATTTCCTTCATTCGGCATTATTCATAATATTTCTTCGCTTTATTCTTACTTGATCATTACCATATAATCACTCACATTAGAATATTTTTGATACCTTATATTCATTATTTTTACTCGATCCTATATTAATAATAAATATAACTCATTTTTACAGTTTTTGATTATGATGAAAAGTGTATACTGTACATTATTTTCAATGCCAACTCCATCACGATGAGAAAACTAACATCAAATTTTCTATTAATTTACTCACCCTCTACAGATTTTTGATAATGAATGGACGCTTCTTCTCTTTTTCAGCACCATTATCAAGATCTTCAAATTTTTCTATCGTTTATGATAGATAAGTCGTCAATTTAACTTCGTTTGACTTGTTACCATCCATCATTTTAACCAAATTTCTTATTTCGTCTCCCAAATCCATTTCCACTATTAACACCAATTTCAATCTTGTGATGGTAAACTCTAGATATACCAAAAAACAATCTTTTATCTTCCAGAAATTCACCATTCATTGCTATCACTTGAGCATACATTTAGGCACATACCTATCTACTATCACTAACGGCTAATTGATCAATTAGAATACGCTAGATCACAGATCAGCTTGTGGCGAACAGGTATTTAGGATAAAATTTGATTGTGCAAGTTGTAAAATAAATGGTTGTTTTTAAGTAAGGGATTAACAAAAAATTTTCGAATTAGCAGTCCTCAGTACTAGGTTGGCCATTCGAATGCATTTCCAGCTTCTTCATCGGGTTCGTTGAGCGATAGATGTTTGAATCATCAAGAGTATTTATTAGTTCTAGTGTTGTTACTCTTTCAGGTTGATTATTATAAGGTCCAACGAAGTCAGTATGGTTGTTAGATGAAACCTTTTTCGCATGATGACGAAAAACTAAACCTAAACCCCAAAAGACTAAACCTTTGACGAATGTCAAAACGCCAAATTCTTTTGATGAAAAACAAAACTTAAAATTAAAATGACGAAACCTTAAACTTAAAATGATGAAACCTTACACTCAAAAAGACGAAACTTTAGTACTCCTGCTAAAAAAAAAAAAAAAAAACAAAAAAAAAACAAAAATTATTTTCATTGAATTAACTTAATAATTTATTAGAGATCAATATACAAAATTACATATATGGCAGCAAAAATAAATCAGTTTATTTTTTCTGGACAGCGTTAGGGTTGTGTATACCAATTGAAATAACCTTGTCAAAAAGCCATAGTACTAATGGAATAACACAAATAATGAATTAAAACATACTGGCACAAAATAAATTCGTAAGATCACAAAGTAAGCACCAAGCGATTTCTCACTATGATACAATATAAAAACACCTATTATACAATAAAATTTTTTTGTAAATTTTATTAACATTATTTTTATATTCGTCTTTTATTAGTTTTGCCATCCTTTACATTTTTGTCAGTTTCGTCACCTTTCGTCAGTTTCATCATTTCGTCGTTTAAGGTTTAAATTGACGAAAGACGAAACTAGGTTTCACGTTTCGTCAATGCGAAACCTCGAGGTTTCGTCTAACAACTATAAGTCAGAGTATTGCTTTGGCCAATTGCTTCAATTAAAATTATTCCTTTGCCAACACTAATCTCTAGTCAGGTACATTAATGTGATAATTTTCTCTTAACGCTTCATTTTCTTCATTTATTTCTTTTATTTCTCTTCGCTCATTTTTTAGACCATTTTTCAGCTCGTTGATTTCTTGATTTTTCTTAAATTTACTATAATAAATAAAATCACAAAATGATCAGAAGTTTTTATGATTATCAGCTTGATATTTTTATTTCTTTCCGATTTTTTTATTTTTTTTTTAGGAGCATTTTCGACGTTAACAGTGATGTGTATGTACGTACGTGAGCTGTCGATCAAGTGATCATACACATTATTGTCAACATGACCTAGGTGAAAATATACTAATTTCCGATACTAGTCATAAATATTCTTACATGGCACCTTTAGACATCTTTTTTTCGCGTCTATTGTTTAAATATATTTATATCTTATTAGTTATCTTATTATATATAATATTATGTGCTTATTATTAATATTAATAATAATATTATTATTACCTTTTTGTCCCGACTTCTTTGTGTTTGTTCCTTCTTCGT